GATATGAGACCATTCATGAACGTAACCTTCTGTCCACTAACTCGCCGCTCAAGATTGTATTTAAGCATTCTGCTTAACAGGTGATTGAAGCGATTGGCTGTCTTTTCTAAGTTCTCCTCTGATTTTTTCGCAAAAGATCCAAATTCTAACAGAAGTGTTGTCTGCACAGAATTTTGCAAGTCGTCATCACCTGAATACAATTCCTTCAGTCTATCCCAGATTCCTTTTGCAGTATCACATGCATTAAAAAGACGGAATGTGTCAGGAGGAAGAGCAAATCGAATAATTCTCATTGCTTTTAGATTGCACATCAGCTTGATCTTCTCATCATTTTCAGGATTGTCTGCAATGATATAATCATAATCCTTCTGGGTTTTGACTTCTTTCTTCGTTACTAAATATTTATATGTTTCTTCTATCATTGCATGCCATATTGTAGAACCATGTTCTTTGATTCCCAGTATGTAATCTTCAAATTGAAGCGCCGAGACCTCATAATCTTCTGGAAAAATGATGGGAATCCTTGTTGTTGAACTGATGCTACTTGGGAGATTGAATGAAAGAGAGTGAAGATCTTAGTTAGCCATAATAACGAGAATTCAAGAAAACAAAAAAAATATAGAATCAGATGTGTAAACTAAAATCGAGTTCAAGGGTAAACTAAAGATCTGGATCTGGAATCTACGATAGATTGAGACGATTGTGACAGCAAGAATAGATCTGAGAAAATCGTAAAACCCTAATGCAAAACCTTTTACTCGACAGAAGAATAGCGAATTAATTACAATATCTCCTGATCTGATACCAATTGTGAGAACAATAAAGATCGATAGATTCTATATTTGCAAGATGAATTAAAGACAAGAAACGACAATGATTAAAAAGGTGTCGAATGATTACTGATAATAGCAATAGAATAGTTATTGAGCCAGAACTACTATGTACGTGCTTCAAAAGTTGTAACCCTAAAAGTTACATGCACACTATATATAGCCTAAGACAAACAACGGTTCCGAACATGGACATGCCCATTTCGGAATCTAATAACATTCATTTGACACAACATATTATAAGACCTAACACAAATAGATAGAGACAACTTTCTTTCTCAATCTGACTGGGTGTTTACTTTAAATAGAGGAGCAGTTACTTGGAGAAGTTCCAAGCAAGAGACAGTGACTGATTCTACCTATGAATCAGAGTACATAGCGGGTGCGCGGGTGGGAGTAGTACCGGGATGGGTGACCCCCTAGGAAGTCCTCGTGTCGAGTGACCCAAAGCGGACAATATTGTGATACGTGCCAGAGGGGGATGTTACAAATGGTATCAAAGCTAGGGCACGAGTCGATGTGTTCGACGGGGACGTCGAAACCTATAATAGGGGGTGAAGGTGGGGTACACCTGATCCCACATCGGCTTGGAAGGAGAACGAAAAATTTCCTGATAAGGGGGTGTGGATACCTTCCTTGTCACAACGCATTTTAAAGTCGTGAGGGCAGCAGATCCCATAAGAACTCTATAGTTAAGCGTGCTCGGGCGGGAGTAGTACCGGGATGGGTGACCCCCTGGGAAGTCCTCGTGCTGAGTGGCCCAAAGCGGACAATATTATGATACGTGCTAGAGGGGGATGTTACAAATGGTATCATATACCTTAAAAATTGAAAACATAGGTTTGTCTCTCCTATTTAAACTTCAAGTCTTTCCTATTATACATTACTTGTAATCAAATTGTATATAATGTCACTTGAGGACGACTTCGTTCAAAAAGAAACTAAATGTCATTTGTTTTTAGGGAAATCTCCAGAAAAGTCCTAAATTTTTTCCTCTTATTTACGAAAATGTCCCAAACTAAATTTTGTTTACGAAAAAGCATGAATTACCGGTAAAAATGGTGATTTGACCCATTTTTCCAGTTTTCCGGTTTTATTACTTACCTGTTTCACTAAAGTCCTATTATTTTATCCTAATTTGCGAATAAGTCCCAAAATAAAATTTACTGATGATTTGGTCTTTTTCTCTATGTAACATACATTTTACCGGTTTCATTGCTGACCCGGACGCCTAGTCATTAAATGAGATGATGAGATGGATATGTTGAGTTATATAATGCTATGTTTAGCATAAAACTTGATATCTTGATGTATTGTATATCTTTTTGGAACATAAAATGCATCCAACGAAGACCACAATAATTATATAAACTAACAACAACTGCGTTATTTTTTACGTTTATAAGAAATATCAAATTGTCTATCTAATCTTATGTGACTCAATATATCCATCTCATCAGACATCAACTCATTTTCTGCCCTTTTTTCTTGGAAACACACATTTTATTGGTTTCATTGCTGACGTAGATACATAGTCATAAATGAGCCGATGAGATGGGTATCAAATTTTATAGTAAATGTGGCATTATATAACTCATCGTATTCATCTTATCAGCTAATTTAATGACTAGGTGTCTAAGTCAACAATGAAACCGATAAAATGTATGTTACTTGAAGAAAATGGCCAAATCATCAGTAAATTTTATTTTGGGACTTATTCGCAAATTAGGGTAAAATAATGAGACTTTAGTGAAACATGTAAGTAATAAAACCGGTAAACCGGAAAAAATGGGTCAAATCGCCATTTTTACCTGTAATTCATGTTTTTTCGTAAACAAATTTTAGTTTGGACTTTTTTGTAAATTAGGGTAAAATTTTAGGATTTTTATGGAGATTTCCCTTGTTTTTATAATAAGAAACATAGTTGTTTGAAATAGGCTCTGGGTGTCATAATGATTATTGTGTGTTGTTTTTATTTTATTAAAGTTTCACTGGACCTAAAAATTTAATTAGTTATGATAAGTTTCAAAATTTTAATTAGTTATGATAAGTTTCTTTTGAGATTCTTGGTTATTTTCTTCTTTTATAGTAGTTGTAATCAGATTGTAACCAATAACAACTATAGAAGATGTTTTGATCATTCCCAATAATTTTTAAGATAAAAAATTTCCTTTATGCCTTTTTTTGAAAATGTTTTGATCTGATTGTAGCAATTATGTTGACTAGTATATTTAGCCACTATATTGATTGATAGTTTAATATAAGAGGATTGCAATCATATTATAGCCATTACACCTTTTTGCAAATGTTTTGATGAGATAAAAGCCATTATGTTGATTGATATTTTAGTATAAGAGGATTGTAATCAAATTTTAGCTAATATTCCTTTTTGTAAATGTTTTGATCAGATTATAGCCACTGTGTTGATTGATATTAAGATTACACCTTTTTTGCAAATGTTTTGATCTGATTGTAGTCATCATGCCTTTTCTTTTTCCTTATATAGTTTCTTATTGTTTTTAACATCTATCATAAATAGTTCTTATGGATCAACAACTTCAACTACTTCTACACATCATCGACAAGTAGTAAACGAATGAGAAAAAAATTGCTACCCTGGCTAGAACGAATGTCAAATGGGACCATGGTATAGACTTGGGTGATATGAATGTGATATATAAACATTGTAATTCAACATGTAACAGTTGGATCATTAAAACATCATATATCATGAACAAGTAATTAACAATGTTGCGCCTTGTTGAAAGGTCCCCAAAACTGTTAGACTAGTACTTGAATTTGCTAATTTGTTGGAAGGAAATAGTTTGGCGAAAAAGAAAAAGGGATGTGTAGTCTCAATTGGTGAAGATGAAGAGACATGTGAAATAACAATAGAGGAAATATGCAAAATTTTGTTACAAAGAATGTAAAATTTAAAACACATTGTATTTAAATTGCAAGACAGAAAAGAGTTTTCAAACAAATTGCAAGATTTTTTTACACAAGTAGAATACCTTTTAATTGTTGTTATAATCATAAGTTCAATAAAATGATCAAAATGGTTCGTGAATATGGTAGAAAGCTTTAATCCATATTCTTATCACGTGTGTTGAAAGAACATATGGTGATGACAACCTAGCAAAGATGATTGATCTCCAGTTCGATTAATTCACTGGTGGAAGAGGAATCTTTAGCCTTAATGTAACTAAACTAACAAGGAAATGGAAACTTTATTGAGCTAGGACACTCAAGTTGAGAAATTAAGTTGGCCATATATGATATTTTAAAATTTTATGAAGGATAAATATGATATTTAGAAATTAAGTTGGACATATACGATATTTTAATGTTTAATAAAGATATATACGAAATTCTCCCTAAAAATGAAAATTAGATGAACCTTTTATTGGTTAAAGTTCAAGTCAAACTTAAGTTTATGATGGTTGTGGAGATGATGATTGTCTTGAAAGAGCTAGAGATCAATTACATGAGTTGTTATTCCTTTAATCCATGATTTTAATTTGACTATGATAATTTTTTAGTTTTATATGTCACGTTTAATTATAGACGCGGGTGGTGGAAGAGAATTGGAGAAGACGATGAGTTGAATTTAGAACGTATGAGAGAAATGATATAGACGTGTTAAACATTTTATAACTTGCAAACAATCAATTGATGGATAAAAACATTTTTTTTTTCATATTATAAACTTGTATATATTTTGTTTTTGTTAAGACCCTAAGATTATGATTTAATCTTTATGATTTACAAAGCAAAAATAATATTCTATGAATCCCATTCTTGACTATCTTGTATTCACTTTTTGAATAACTTTGCAAGTATTATTTGTTAACAAGATAAGACCTATAAGACACTGTGATAGTCTAAAGTTGCCGGGAAACACAATGATAGGTGAAACTTTTTGATGGATGAAACAATTTTAAAACATTATGTTTTTTTTATTTTGCATGATATTCCACGATATTACAATTTAATTAAAACTATAAAACTTAACAAAAAAGAAGATAAATATTTAGAATTTAGATAAATAAAAATAGGTTATAAAAGTACAGGTTATTTTATAATGTCTATTTTACTTAAAATTTGAAATAAAAAAGAGAGATGACAATATTTAACTTTAATAAATTGTATTTATTTAATTCTTTTAGAAGCCACCTTCCTCATGTGCAACAGCTTTGACTTTTCAGAATCATGGCAGAATGCTCATGCTGATTATATTACAAGACATATTGCAGACTTTACAAAGTACCTGAAGCACCAGATACTCCCTCTTCTTTCATTATCTTCTCCTCTTTGTATCTGCGTCTTCTTCGATAACCAGTAAGCTATTAATTTTCCTTTTACATCTCTCCACAATCAAAACTTTGCCATCTTCGTTCATCGGTTCCTGCAACCATTTTTCAGTTTTCTTCAAGTTCTTTTAGTTTTTCTTTCCTAAATTCTGATAGGAATTGCAACAATTCCCAAAAAGTTCATTCAAACTTTCATCCAGTAAAAAAAATTACAAAACAATTGGGTCAAAAGATTCAAGAATCGTTGTATCAATATGTTAAGAACTGTTCATGCTTAATGCGTTAATTATCAATCGAAAAAATACACATTAAGAAAAAAAATCGACCTATGAACCGGATCTCTTCGGATTTAAGAACTTCATCCATTGATGAAAACAACTTTAACAATAACAACAATCAATATACAGATTAATGGACTAAAAAGGGAATGGGGGTGGGTACTTACAGGTTCAGACGCAGTTGAATCAGTTGATTTTGTGATGATTTCTGCACAAGGGTCGACATCTAAGGAGGTCAAAGGCTCTAATCCATCATTGCCATGCGGATTGGGGTTCAAGAGCGAATTGGGATCGATTCCTGGAGGATGAATTACAGGTGCAGGAATGTTAAAAGAGCGCAGCAGAGGGTAAGGGTTTGGAAACAAGAAGAACGAAGATGAAGATGGAGATGGAGATGAAGATGTCTGCTGTTCTTTCAACATGTTAGGTTTAGAATCAGGGGTTTAAGGGTTTTGCAGGGAAAGATTGCTACAAGCTTTAAAGTTGTTGAATCAAATTTACAGTATTTATGGAAGGAGTTTTGAGACGAAGACTGATCTATGGAATTCTTGTGATATTTTACTCTTAAAAGTAAAATTGGAAATATATAATTTGATGTAGCGTGGGGCCGAAGTAACCAAGGTATTTACTTCTCATTTAATGAAAAATTATTCGATAAATACCGGCCATATCGGCTAAAATGGTTATGAAGAGTGCACTTTATACAGCCGTTAGATAAAGAATTATGTTTTTCTTTTTGATATGTATTGATGTATTCTTTATGTTAGTTTTCAGTTTTATTTTTGTTTATTCATAAATTAGGTGTGAGACCGTGTATTATATGGAGTTTTTTTTAAATAATATAAAATTATAAGCATTGCATAATTTTTTAAGTAATATTTTTATATAAATACAAATGATATAACGAATAAAATAAGTATTTCAATATATAAAAATGATGATAAATACAAAGGATATAATGAATAAAGTAAGTATTTCAATACATATTTTATAAATGATGATAAAAATTATGGTGTAAACATTAAAAAAACTTAACCGATCATTGTCGCTATAATTGTGGACGATTATCAAAATAAACCAATTTTTGATGAATATTTCATTATTATAAACCAATGTTGTATGAGTATCCTTTCTAATAAATGAATGTTTTTTTGTCACTTGTCAAATTCTCAAAAGTTTTGCCACATGTAATTTTGTGGGAGTTTTAAAATTATTATTTTCCACTTGTCATTTTTTGGGAATTTCCATTCTTTTTAAATAAAATTCCATAAATTTGTAACGAGTTTATAAGAAAAGAGAATCATTTTATTAATTTGATAATAAAGTCTCATAAATGCTCTAAAGAATATTTTATTTTATTTATAAATGTTCCAAAAGATTATATTATGTTATGTAAAAGTGTTATTTTATAAAATATTTAATATTTAAAAATTGATATTAAATTTTTATCTACCCTAATAAAAAAGAATGATTTTGCCACATGTCATTCTCTCATTCAATTGACCACATGTCATTTTGTCATAATTTTGAGATATATTTATTTTCCACTTGTCATTTACTTCATTTTTCATTTTTAATATATCATTAATTTAGTTTCTATAAACTAAACCTACCATAATGACTATTAATTTCAAATTTCAAATTTTAAATTTCAATTTCAATTTCAATTTCAAATAAATTTAGAGTTTAAATCTTTGTGCTTAACATTTTGTTATAATTTACCCGTTAGTACATGGATCTGATTACTAAACATATAATTTTAATTTATTTATTTTTTGCATTTTTTCTCATAATTTTCAGTTATTTCAAATTTCAAATTCAAATAAACTTCTCATTTAATCGTTCCTATTTAACATTTTGTTTTAATCAACCCGTATAATATACGGGTCTCACAACTAGTTTTATTATAAACCAATATATTTAAAAAATATATATTGATTATATTTTAAAATTTGTAAAATGCAGATTTTACGAAGTTATCAAAATAAACAAATTTCGGATTAATATATTCTATTATAAATATGGTATGTTGATGTTTTTGTCATAATTCGATTCAAACTAAAATGAAATAAACAAAATAATGAGATACACAAGATAAATTAATAGATCCTTACTATTCACATAAACATAATAAAATTGATTATGAGATTTTGTCATAATTGGATTCACATATGTATGCGATTTAAAAAATGAAGGAAAGAGAGGTTTGTAGAGCATTTATTATAAGATTTTAATATAATTATCTACTTTACATATATAAATGTCTAGTCAAATGGGGATTTTAATTTTAAGAAACAAGAAAACACCAAAAAATGCTATGTGGAAAATGAAAAATTCATAAAATATTATAAAATGACAAGTGGCAAATAAATGTAAAACATGACATGTGGCAAAAAAAACATTTTCATTTATTAGGATAGATGAAGATGAATATCAATATACTATATTCATTTACCTCAATTTTATTTTTATTTATTCATAAATGAATACTAATATCATATATTCATTTACCTTTAATATGTAAATAATAACGTTTTCAATCATAAATGAATATAAATATGATGGATTCATTTATGAATAATATATATATTTCACATGTCAATTTACCATATCCATATAACTTATTTTTTATTAGTAAATTAAAAAACAAATATGATATATTCATTTATAATTAACATGTATTTGTAACGCTCTGTTTCATATCGTTTCTATTTCAGGGTGGTGATCAAGGATTTGGTATTAGCAGACTTAGGATCCTTAAAGAATTTAGTTTTGCGCTAATTTGGAGGTGGATAATGTAAATTGGATGATCCGGGTATTCGGTTTGTGTTTTGAGGTCAAAGGGTATTTCGGTAATTTGTCAACTCGGGCTTCTATGGAAAATGGATGTTTGTTTGGGATATGGTAAGGCAGGTATGGGTTGGCTAAAGCGTAGAGCTTCTAGTTACCTTTTCATGGATATAAGGATCGTCAGAATCGGGTTTATAACGAAGAAGTTATGGTCTTCAGAGTGCTTAAAGGTTTAAGGGGAAGCCCTTGTACGCGAGGCGTACTGGTGCGAAGGGTGGTACGCGATGCATAGTTCAGGGTACCCGTAGCGTACTACGAAGGTTGGACTGGGGATGTGAGACCTCGTACGTTGGGCGTACGAGGGTTAGAGGAAAACCCTAATTTTAAGTGATTATACCCTATATAAACACATTAAGTCCTTAGGGCTGGCCTCTTTACCGGCCTCTAAGTCCCTAAAACCCTAGAAATCGTCCTTTAGCCTTCATGATGGTATTTTGAGCTCATGGTGTCCAATTTTGGTGTGTTTGGTCCATTTCCAAGAAGATGGAGTTTGGTGCAAGGATGGGGATCAAGGAAGAGCTTATTGATCTGGATTATGGGCTTTATTTCTAGCTTGTTTGAGGTAAAAAGCTATGAAATTGATCATTGATGTCTTAGATCTAGCATGTATGAGTTTTGGTTCATTTTGGTCCCAAGGATGAGATCTAGTGGCTTGATACCACTCCAGGAGCTTTGAGTTGCCACTCTTGGTGTTTCTGAGGTTCTAGATGCATAAAGTTGCATCCTTTAGGGTTTGGAATCCCCCATGTATGAGTTGGTGTCCTTTTGGTGAAAGTTTAATGCTTTAAGTTGATGTTGGGTTCTTTTGAGGCATGCAAAGTCATCAAGTCAATGACTTTATGGGTCTAGACGTTCTTTAAGAAGTAGATCTATGGTTTGGACTCCTGATCTTGAGCATTAAGTGCTTAATGTCGAAAATGGGCTTAAAGGAGGAGTACACTAGGCGTACAAGTCTTTACGGGCAGCGTACAAGACAAACTGCATGTACGCTTAGCGTACAGCTGAGTACGCCCCACATACTCAGTCAGGAGGGGTTTGGCATGATGGGCTTTGGTGTGGGCCGTCTTTTGGGCTTAGTTGTCTTGGGCCCTGTTGGGCCATCAGGTTTTGGGTTGATAATTATGTGGAAAGGCCTTCAATGGGTTCTGGCCCAATTTGTAAAATTGGGCCATGAATTTGGGCTTTGAGTGGTTTATGGTATTTGGCCCTTTGTATTATTAGGTTTGGGCCTAAGTCTTGGTCCAAAGTAGATTAGGGTTAAATGGGTCATTTACCCCAATAATGGATTTATGGACATGGTTTTAGACCCGAATGTTGATTGGGTGTTGTTTGATATTGATATTCGGGGACTGGTCAGCCAGCAGCCATAGATTTATTCGCGGGATTCAGCAGTGCAAGGTGAGTTTCCTCACTATGTTTAGCGGGTCGAAGACATTAATGTCGGCCCATGGTTTGCTATGTAGTGTGCTAGATGTTTGCGTGACTCTTTCATGAGTATATGTTTGTATGCTTATTGGGCGGGGCCCGATGATTACTCTGTATGCTAGTATCAGGTTATGCATATATGATTTGTATATGGGCGGGGCCCGATGATTATGCAGTATGCTACTATCTTTGTGATTTCGCATGTGTTTGAATGTATATGATTATATGGTTATATGTTTAGTGGGCGGGGCCCATTATTCAAGTGTGGGCGGGGCCCGTTATTCAAGTGTGGACGAGGCCCATTCTGCGAGTGTGGGCGGGGCCCGTATCTCATTAGGCGGGGCCCGTTATGCGAGTGTGGACGGGGCCCGTATCTTAGTGGTTGGGGCCTGTTATGTGTTATGTATGTATCAGTATGAGGTATATTGGGGATCTCACTAAGCTTTGTGCTTACTGTTTTCAGTTTATGTTTCAGGTTCTTTGGTTTTCATATGGAAGAGCTCGAGATGATTGCAGAGAACACACCACATGTTTCCGCATTCTGTGAATTACTCTGATCTGATGACGTTTTTCTAAGTCTTGTTTACCTTGATTTTATGGAAATGATATGTATTAACGATTTATTAATCTAAAAACGAAAATTTTTATGTCATTATTTTTGGGGCGTTTCAGTATTTCACATATCAATTTACCATATCCATATAAATGTGTTAAGTAGTAGCTTCTGATAAATCCATAATGACACAATAATACTGTATTATTCATACATTAATATTATTGTTTATGATTATTATCTGCATATATTCATAAATGAATAGAACCAAAAAACATTGAAAAAAAAACAAAAAAAACCCCTAGATGTCTTTTGCTGATTGAGCAATTGCAATTCTTACTATGCATGTACGTAAATTGTGAGGAACTCGTTCTCCACATCCTGAGCACATTCTATGTTCTTTTTTAGAATTAACATATGCGACTTCACCTGCACTTGGAATTCTTTTCTTGATTCTAGAACCTTTATTTCTTTAAACTTGAGGAACATGAATATTAATCTCTTTTGGAATAGGAATAGAAACATCCATAAGCTTGCATACAACTTCACCATCCGTCTTGCTTTTCAATCCACCAGATGTATAATCACTCTCAAATTCCTTCAACAACATCTGTTGTTTCTCAACAAACAAAGCCAATTTCTTTTTGTCATCTCTTACAATATCCAAACATGATTCAAAACTATAATATGAATCATTGACTAGCTTCACCTTCTCACGATCCC